AGCAAAGACAAAAGAGACTATAATATGCTACTCTTATCAAAACTTCAAACAATGATTATTGACTGAAATTTCCCATTATGTATTGCTAACTTATTATAGCGAACACGGTCAGCTCTTATTTTATCTAATTATTACATAATGCGTCTTTAAAAAGGTTTGGGTGGACGAAGGGTTTAACGCGTGCGCGTTCGAGCATAAGGTCGAACATTGAATCAAGTGACGTGGTTTCGATTCCCGTCTTGTACGTGACAAAGGTAGGGTCTATTAATTAATAGTAAACGTCAGCCTCCTAGCCTTAAAAAAAACCCCAATAGAGTTAAATTTCAAGCTTCTAGTAATGTTACCTTTTCTACTTCTAAGTACCACTTTGTAAATGTTGCCACCATATGATTATTAATAGGACTACTAATTATATATGTTTAGAATCAATGATAAATTTATGAATTGTGGCCAGGCGATATATCGAGAAAGTCCACCGATGCAAACATTAATGCACAATCCAAACCGTTTTAAATCAACGTGCCACACACAGTATGGTCCTATTCCGTTATATTGTCTTCCTAAGTCGGTGAAGCAAGCGACATTCAACACCTATACAGATCTAAAAGTTTCAGTATGGCCCGAACGTATTCTGTTGAATAGTATAACCATTTTGGATGTTCTCTTAACTAACACCCAAGTGGCAGTATTTACGAATGAGTGTTAGTCTATTTTGATCCATGCGTGTTATGGCGAGAGCCTGAGCAAGTTATTAGAGATTTTTGGCAATCGTAAATACCTGGCCCGTATCGCGTATCCGTAACGTTTTTGCGTGTGACGTCATCAATTCGTGTGTATTTCTCATACGTGAAACGGCACACGGATACGACAGCACATATCGACGAGCTTTCATACGGAAAAGGTCCGTATAAAATTGTCGTTTTTTTACCCGATCTTTTGCTACTTTTAGACGCTGAAATGTTGTGCCGTAGGTTTTTTTTATGAATCTATGTGTATCCTAGAACACGAAGGTGTATATTTGATGTGATTTTAACCATGATAAAGACTGGAATTTAATCATTACTTTTGATGAGCTTTTCGCGGAATTTTCATATTTGTCCTGCCTGTCTGCAAGCTGGTTGATCTACGTGCTAAATTTAGTGAGGTGGGACCTAGCAAATCCGTAAAAGGGGGTATATACTTTCTGAAATGATACATTAGTGAAACCAAATATTGCTGTTGAGTCGAAGTCGAAGATTTTTTTTATAAGATTCGACACTAAATTTGTTAAATTTTTTAAATAGCTCAGCGACTGTAGAGCGACTTTTTACTCCCGTTAGGTATTCGTAGGCTAGGCACTTGACTAGTACTGATGTTGATCTTGGTAGATAACTGCCATCATGCTGTAATAGAACTAAGCTCAGCTCAGCTACCCATACGTGCGCGGCGCGACAATCTGTCCAAACTCTAAAACTACATTGACGCAATGTATCACGTGACGATACGGATACGTGACAGGTTGGGAAAAATTCCACTCGCCAAAAGTCTCTGTTATCTGGCTCCGTAGATATGTGATATTCATGTACATTTGTGATTAAAGAATAGTGCAATAATGCGAAAATCTTCTTTGAATGATACAACCACAGAATAATTTTGGTTCTAAAATCGCAAACCGGATGTACGTGTTTTTAAAATTCATTTTCTTGTCCCTATGACAATGTCATTATAAAAATAAGTTTCGATTTCAAATTGTAAGCATAAATAAACATACATACCTACTTCTGGAATCCAAAATAAAATTGTGATTGCAACAATAATATAATTGTTTAAAATATTACCATCCATTATAAAATATCGTTCCCGAATGAACTGCCTATATACACACTCATACGGATAAAGTATTTAAACAAATTGAAATTTATAGCACACCTTTGGTCTTTGATCTTACCTATCAAATAAACTGATTTGTAATATATAGAACATAAATATATCTGCTATATGTACACAGGCAAATTCGAAATTTGTATAAAGACATATTACTTGATATAGAAGGACAGGACGATATTTGAGAAATAGGTTATTGCGATAATAAAGGTATTGCTAGATTGCTACGACGCAGATTGTTATTATACAGTCCCGATAATAGAACCGTGTTATATATATATATATATATATATATACATATATAGATATATATATATATATATATATATATATATATATATATATATATATATATATATATATAACATATATAGATATATATATATATATATATATATATATATATATATATATATATATATATATATAATTTTAATTAAAGATACACTATGTAAGATTTAGATACAGAGCTAACTCTTGCTATAATAGCACAAAAAATAAAAAATACAAAATGAAAATATTGAAAATTTCATTCAAATTACCCTGAGGCAAGTTATCACTGTTTGTATTTTTGACAAGATGTGTGCATTGTGGTATATTCAAGATTTAGCCTTGCCTTTCCAATTCTAAACTATATTTTGAAATGCCTAATTAATAATTTAGATATCATTTAAGGCATAAAGATAGACCTGCAATAGACATATTTAGCTCTTACATAATGCATGTTTAATATTCTGATCGAAAGATTGTCAATCTTACTGATATAATCTCAATATCAGCACATTTGGCAATGTGAATTTTTTAAGGTCAAGCTTACAATATATTTATTTTGGTGATTATCTATATACATGAAATATTGGATTATAGCGATATTTTTCATGGTCTCAAAGAAATTGTCAATAAAATTTATATGTCATGATTCATAGATTTATTGAAACTATAGAATAGTCCATCCCTACGAGATAGTCAAGGCATCCAGCACCTGAAAAGAGAAATAAGAGAAAAAAAAGGAGCAGTATCTGTGCCTAAAATGATAAGAGGGTTTGATGGACGAATGGACTAAAGCGTGGGCTGGCTTTAGATTGTCTAATCTGTTTTGTCATTGGGTCGGGTGGCGTGGTTTCGATTCTTAGCTTGTACGAGGCAAACCTCATGTTTTCCTTTTGCGATCGTCACTTCCCTTTCTTGAAAGCTTCATAACGCATCTATCGTAGCAATGATCTCTGTGTTAAAATTATAGTTGGAACGCGTTTAACCAGTTCTATCACATATGTGATAATGACTGACACCAATATTGTCCTTTAAGTCGTGGAAGAGACTAGGGTTTTCCCTATAAATTTATGAATTGTGGCCAGGCGATATATCGAGAAAGTCCACCGATGCAAACATTAATGCACAATCCAAACCGTTTTAAATCAACGTGCCACACACAGTATGGTCCCATTCCGTTATATTGTCTTCCTAAGTCGGTGAAGCAAGCGACATTCCACACCTATACAGATCTAAAAGTTTCAGTATGGCCCGAACGTATTCTGTTGAATAGTATAACCATTTTGGATGTTCTCTTAACTAACACCCAAGTGGCAGTATTTACGAATGAGTGTTAGTCTATTTTGATCCATGCGTGTTATGGCGAGAGTCTGAGCAAGTTATTAGAGATTTTTGGCAAGCGTAAATACCTGGCCCGTATCGCGTATCCGTAACGTTTTTGCGTGTGACGTCATCAATTCGTGTGTATTTCTCATAAGTGAAACGGCACACGGATACGACAGCACATATCGACGAGCTTTCATACGGAAAAGGTCCGTATAAAATTGTCGTTTTTTTACCCTATCTTTTGCTACTTTTAGACGCTGAAATGTTGTGCCGTAGGTTTTTTTTATGAATCTATGTGTATCCTAGAACACGAAGGTGTATATTTGATGTGATTTTAACCATGATAAAGACTGGAATTTAATTATTACTTTTGATGAGCTTTTCATATTTGTCCTGCCTGTCTGCAAGCTGGTTGATCTACGTGCTAAATTTAGTGAGGTTTGTCATTGGGTCGGGTGGCGTGGTTTCGATTCTTAGCTTGTACGAGGCAAACCTCGTGGGTTCCCCCCCCCCCCCGACACACCCGTGCATCTGTTATCACTCGTGTTTTCCTTTTGCGATCGTCACTTCCCTTTCTTGAAAGCTTCATAACGCATCTATCGTAGCAATGATCTCTGTGTTAAAATTATAGTTGGAACGCGTTTAACCAGTTCTATCACATATGTGATAATGACTGACACCAATATTGTCCTTTAAGTCGTGGAAGAGACTAGGGTTTTCCCTATACAGTAGTTTTTTTATTATTAAGTATCCGGTCTGACTAAATCACTTTCTTTGTAGCCTGTTCCATTTTTCTCCTTGTATGGGCACGTGTCCACTGAGTAAAACAGGGTAGGGGGTGTTAGCATGCTACTTTGCGGCGTCTTGTTTGTACTTGCGATTCTATTGGCAACATGGGCTGTTGTTGTCATGTGTATACTGCATGGTTTTCACCATTATCTTGTTTACATATTTGGGGCATTTTGGTGAAGCCAGAGGTGACCGGCGACCCACAGCTCGAAGCGCAACCCAACCAGGAGTAAACCCACGAGGTTGAGAAGGCGCCTCTATCTCCACGACAAATACGCTAACACTAGGTATCTAAACCACGACTGGATGGCAGAGGTTACTGGCCAACTAAAGCGCGACACTCTAGAACACTCGACCACCCCTATCAACTAAACGTAGCTAGATGGTATAGATGACGTAACTATTCCCAATGTTCAAGTTGGTAATTCATTAAATTTCAAGGTCACAGGTATTTGTACGTTAGTAAATATAGTTTATATCTTATAGTTGCTTATTGCAGTTTATAATAACTGGCGAACACGTTTTCTGATTATGGTAATAAACATTGATTTAATAAATATTTGGTTTTATAGTTAATTTGTCGGATGTATGACAACATTTGCTAGGATTGAATGTTTTACATGTATTTTGTTTACATGTCTGGTTGCAGGCGTGATTGCATTGATAGCACGTGAACTGCCTGTTCTATTATCGTCATTTGATTGGTTGTGATTGAGACTAGTGAGCTATTTGAACTTGTTTTTATCTCTTAACGACAGATTTTGATCGGAACACAAGTAAAGTTTGTTTCATTTGTGTGACACCGTCAAAAAAATATTCATATAGACAGATATTTCATGTAACTGGTTAGAAGGCTATGTCATTATGGCGATCTGCGTGATTTATTTGCGATAGTTAGTACACATACTTGTAAGTATTATGATTATTCTATGATTTTGCAATTTTGATTATCATGGAGATGGAGAAATGTAGTTACTTTAGTAACGTAAACTGTATCGGCTCTGCTCTCTACTAGAGAAATGATACTTCGGTCATTGTTAAGGTCATGGTTTAGTGGTGAAGTCCCGACCCAAGAAATGGTTCAAATACTGATGTCGTTCGTCTTGCTACCCCCCCCCCCGTTCCACAACCACAATAGTATTTGTAGCCGTGATAATTCTTTTTCAAGGCTACAATTGATACACTATTCGAGGCTTTGAGCAAGTAAAATTAGGAGTTGCAAAATTTTCAACATATATCACCACAGTTTGCATGGAAATAAGTAATTGTTACAAATAGTCAAAGGTGGAAAACCGAAATCTTAATCTTATCATACCGAAAAGTTTTTCTGTATTTTCGAGTGACATGAAATCATGCGGTTCTGGTTCGGCAGCCATTTTAAAATGAACAGAAATTTCGTATAGCAATGGGAATTGGTTTATTACATGTTAAGCTATGAACACTACAGTCAGGGGTCAGTGTAATTGGAAATTAAGGGAGTTATAGGCTAGTAACTATTTTAGTCAACAAATAACTACAACTTGCTCAAAGGCCTTAGGGCGGTCCACTACTGTGCCTGGAGCAAGACAGAAGACATCAGTAGTGAAACCATTTCTTGGTTATAAGGACATCCTTTGCGCAAGTTGTCCACATTGATTACAACAACGTTAGTGGCTGCCAATAACTCCCTTAAAGGAGCTAATTCTCTAACTCCATAATATTCTAAATTAAAAACATGAATAAGAATTCAATATTGACAAACTTCAATCAATATTGATATCTTGCCGTAAAACTATAGGATCCCAATATCCAATATTTAAGACAAAATAAACATTTTATAATCTGTACACGAGTCGTGTACCATATGGTTTCGGGTGTCATTTTGTAGTACCGTCACTAGTTCTGTCCAGAATAGACTATTGTAACAGTTTGTTGTCTGGGATCAATCAATCAAATCTCTACAAACTACAGAAAATACAGAATACAGCAGCCAGAATCATATCACGATCCAAAACATCTCACATAACACCTATTCTAAAATCCTTACATTGGCTCCCAAATCTTGCACCCAGCTATTTATCCGAACTACTAACAGTATATCAACCAAATCGGTCCTTGATCTTATTACCAGAACACTCTTGTCGTTCCACACTCAAAACTGAAAATCCGAAACAGTGGAACTCTAACTACTTTCAAATCACAGCTGAAGACTCACTTATTTCGAGAATGCTACGAGAATTAGACATTCTGTTCACTGTGTGTATACAACTAGTGTCTCATTACGCTTTGAGCATGCTTTTGGATGGATTTGACGCTCTACAAATGTACATTATTATTAACAAATAAAAACATCCTACAACACAATGTGGAAGTAATTAGTAAAGCCTGATTCACAATATAATGCACCAAGCAGGCGATAAGGACTGTCGTTCAATTTGAATTGTTCCAAAATTGAAAATAAATCACTTTACAAACATTCATATTACATTAATATTATGTGCTTGTAGAACCATTTTTGGCTATTTCAAGGTTCCAGAAATTGGTGCTAAACACCCTTTGATTTCCTATTACACTGACCCCAAATATAAAGATGAAAAACCTGAAAAACAAACTCGTGAGGTCAATCGATGCAAGTTTGCTTAAACTGAACACACACACGTAACTTGAACTGGAAAAACAAATTAAAATTGTTATTTTCATCTTTGTTAGAAAATGCCGCGCCTTTCAAATGTAGAACGTCTACGTGCTATAGGTAGGCTCTATGCTGGTCAGTCTGTGGTCACTGTTGCAAGAGCCTTTAATTGTTCACGCCAGACAATAATTAATCTTAGAATGAGAGTGCTTCAAACTGGAACTAGTGCCGACCGCCCAAGAGCGGGAGCGCCACGTGTGACGTCACTCCAGGTAGATTAAGCAATACGATTACGTCATCTTAGAAACAGATTTGTCACTGCAACCTCCACAAGTAGAGAGATGTTTGGTGGAAGGGTAACTGCACAAACTGTTCGAAATCGCTTGCAGGCTGCTGGTCTTCATCGCCGTAACCGACTTGTGTGGGCCACACGATACATAAGATTTACTCAAAGACAGTGGAATTCGGTTGTCTTTAGTGACGAATCTCGATTCACTTTGAGATTTGCCGATGGCAGGGCCCGAGTGTACCGCAGACGAGGTGAACGGTACGCTCAAGTATGCGTCAGAGAAGTTGACCGATTTGGTGGCGGCAGCGTCATGGTTTGGGGTTCTTTTTGTGCACATGGACGTTCTCTTGTTGTTGTCCAAGGGAACTTAAATGTTGTCCAGTACAGGGATCAGATTTTGCAACCTGTTCTTCTCCCGTTTATGCAGAGACATGGGCCTGGACTAACGTCCATGCTCGACAAGACAATGCTCGACCCCATACAACAATTGCTACCCAGAATTTTTTAAGAAATGCCGGTGTCCAAGTCCTGGATTGGCCGTCGCTTAGCCCCGACCTTAATCCTATTGAACACATCTGGGACGAACTGGGTCGACGTGTTCGTCAGCAAGTGAATCCACCACTGACGTTGCAGGACCTTCAACATGCTCTTGCTGAGCAGTGGCGACGTCTTCCTCGGGTAGTGTTTACTAATGTTCTGAGATCCACGAGAAGACGTTGTGTGGCAGTACGAGACGCTAGAGGAGGCCACAACCGTTACTAAACACTTTATTCCGATTGTTCTCCAAGTCTGTGAATTTCATTTTGGGGGGTACTGTAACATAACGAACGTTATCAATGTCAAGGACTTTCGGCGAGACGTATTCTTGCTTTCTGTTGATGTCAAGGTCGTCTGTGCACAACATAACACTAAAATAGTTGCCTTAAACCAAATATTAAAAATCTAGTCCCAAATATCCCGAGTGTCAAGTTTTTAATTTGGCTGAGTATAGGTTTATGTGCCGAAGACCGCGGCCCATTTCGATATTTGCATGTATCGGACCGTAACTGATGGGTTATGACCTGATCGTACGAAAAATCGATTTTGATGAAACTTATGTATATTGATTATACATTATTGTACGAAAATCGCTTTTGAGCTTGTGCTGTCCATCTCTTGCAAAATGTGGGTGTGTCTTGCATGGCAACCGCTGGTGTCAATTATGCGAAATATTTTAGTTTGTACTTAGTAAATATTTCCAATGTTTAATCCTCACATCTTTCTGCTTTCAGACAGTTCTAAAAGATGAATCGAGTAGTCCCAAACGTTTGCAAGTTGCATTCAATACAAAATTAGCTGAACACACCATTTTGAAGGACGTTTTGATGTTTTCCCGACAGATCCTAAATCTTTAATTATTAATGTAAGCATCACTTGAGAAGCGGTAAAATGACCAAAAGGTAAATAAAGATGCAGTTTTTATACGACCACATTTTCATGTGGACGGATATTGTCGTCGTCCGCCAGTCCGTCCGTTCACATTTTGTTTGTAGACCCCACAGGTCGCTATTATCCCAAAGATCTCGGTTCCTTTTTAATATTGGCATGTATCGGAAGTTACCAAAAAATAACATTTTTTATGTTGACGTATATTGTCGTTGCCCCTGTCCGTCCATCTGTCCTCCCGTCCACAATTTGTGGGCACTCTACAGGTCACAATTTTTATTCAATTGGGAAGAAACTTGACATAGGTTTATATCCCAAAAATCGGACCGTAATTGCCCGGCAAAATGGCCGCTCCTTGGACGCAAATTGTGTAAAAGTATGGAACACCTAAGTTGTGGGCCTGCTAGAGGTCACAGGTTTTGTCCGATTTTGAAACTTAAAATATATGTTTATATTTATCTCAAATATCTGTTCCTTTGGATATTTGCACATGGATATTTACACATCAGACCATAACTTCCTGGATTATGGACCCTGATTGTACGCAAAATCACCGTTTTAGCTCGTGGATCCTGTAAAGGATACAATGCCTATCAGATTTTAAAAATGGTTTACATATATCACTGTTACACCATAATAAAGGTTTGAGTTAGAATTTCTGGAAAATTGAAACCAAACTGCCCGACAAAATGGCCGCTAATTTTACGCAAATTGTGTACAAGTATGTAATACGAAGGATTTGGACCCTCTATAGGTCATAATTTTTGTCGATTTTGATGAAACTTAAAATAATTATCTTTATATCCCAAAGGTCTGTCCCTTTCGATATTCGCATTTCAGACCATAACTTCTCGGATTATGGCCTCTGATTGTACGAACAATCACGTTTTCCTTTTTAGCCTGTTCTCTATTCATCTCTTGCAAAATGTGGACGTACCTTGTCCGTCAACCGCTGGTTATCCAATTTTGACGAAACGGAAAATATGTTCGTATCCAAAAAATCTCGGTTCCTTTCGATATTAGCACACATCGGATCATAACTTCCTGGAATTTAGTTCGTCAGGATTTTCCGGCGTGGGTGTTTCCTCTTGTCAGTGTTGCAGGACGGGGGGTGGGGACTGTCAGAAAAGCTGTCTAGTCGTTCGGATGGGACCAAAAACCGAGGTCCCGTGTACATACTGGCGTACACGTTAAAGATCCCATGGCAGTTGGAATTCCACGAGATCAGGCCATAGCGCCGCTGTCCAGGCAAAATTTCCCTCAACGCACACTGTATGGTATGCTCGTCTTCATTAATCCAGAACAGTAGCATGTTAAACCCATTTCATTTCCTGGAATTTGGTCCTGATTGTGCGATATATCGCGCGTTGAGCTTATGGATCCTCCAGAGGTCACAATTTTTATTATACGCCCACATTTTCATGTGGACGTATATTGTCGTCGCCCCTATCCGTCCGGACGTCCGTCCGTCAACAATTGTTTGTGGACACTCTACAGGTCACAATTCTTATCCGATTTTGACGAAACTTGAAATATAGGTTTATATCCAAAAGATCTCGGCTGCTTTCGATATTGTCATGTATCAGATCGAAACTTGTGGACCCTATAGAGGTCACAATTTTTATCCGATTTTGTTGAAACTTGAAATGTAAGTTTATAACCCAAAGATCCCGGTCCCTTTCAATATTCGCGCATATCGGACCGTAACTTCCTGAATTATGGCCCCTGATTGTACGAAAAATCGCGTTTTTAGCTTGTGGACCATATAGAGGTCATAATTTTTATCAGATTTAAAAAAAAAAACGTATTATTATATCACCGTTACACCCTAAGGGCGACTGAGTTCGAATTTCGTGAAATCGGCAAAACAATTGACAGAGAAAATGGCCGCCATTCGTTCTCAACTAGCGTAAAAATATCTTATATCAAGGTTGTGGACCCTAGAGAGGCCACAATTTTAATCCTATTTTGATGAAACTTTAAATGTAAGTTTCTAACCCAACGATTTCGGTTTGCTTTTGATATTCGCACATATCGGACCGTAACTTCCTGAATTATGGCCCCTGATTGTACGAAAAATCACGTTTTAGCTTGTGGACCCTATAGAGGTCATAATTTTTATCTGATTTAAAAAACGTTTTAGTATATCACCGTTACACCCTAAGGATGCCTGAGGCCGCCCCTCGTACACAATTAGCGTAAAAATATGGTATATCAATGTTGTGGACCCCTCTAGAGGTCACAATTTTCTTCTGATGTTGATGAAACTTGAAATGTAAGTTTATAACCCAACGATCTTGGTACCTTTCGTTATCCGCGCATATCGTATCGTAATTTCCTGAATTATGGCCTTTGATTGAACAAAAAAATCACGTTTTTAGCTTGTGGTGCCTGTAGAGGTCACAATTTTTATCTGATTTAAAAAAAAATAATGTGTGAATATATCACTATTACACACTAAGATCTTGGATCCTTTTGATAATCGTGGATACACAAACTTAACTTCTGGATTATGACCCCTGATTGTTCGAAAATGGCATTTTTAGCTCGCAGATTCTCTGGAGGCCACAATTTTTTTCCGATTTTAAAAACCGTTTAAATATTTCACCATTCCACCATAATGAAGGTTGAATTCGAATTTCGGGAAAATCGAAATGAAACTGCCCAATAAAATGGCCGCTCTTTGTACGCAAATCGTGTAAAAGTAGGCAATACGCAGGTTGTCGACCCTCTAGTGGTCACAATTTTTATCTGATTCTGATGAAACTTAAAACATATCATTATATCCCAAAGATCTGTCCCTTTTGATATTTGTACATTTCAGACCATAACTTTCTGCATTATTGCCCCTGATTGTACAAAAAATCCTGTTTGTTTTTAGCTTGTTCTCTATCCATCTCTTGCAAAATGTGGGCATATCCTGCCTGGCAGCCGCTAGCTATCCGATTTTGTTGAAATTGAAATGTAAGTTTATATCCCAAAGATCTCGGTTCCTTTCGATATTCGCGCATATCGGACCGTATCTTCCTGAATTATGGCCCCTGATTGTACGAAAAATCGCGTTTTTAGCTTGTAGACCCTATAGAGGTCATACTTTTTATCCGATTTAAAAAATCGTATTATATCACCGTTACACGCTAAGGACGACTGAGTTCGTATTTCGTGAAAATTGACCCAAAATTGACAGACAAAATGGCCGCCGTTCGTTCTCAAATAGCATTAAAATATGGTGTATCAAGGTTGTGGACCCTATAGAGGCCACAATTTTTATCCGATTTTGTTGAAACTTGAAATGTAAGTTTATAACACAAAGATCTCAGTTCCTTTCGATATTTGCATATCGAATTGTAATTTCCTGACTTATGGCCCTTGATTGTAGGAAAAATCACTTTCTTGTTAGCTTGTTCTCTATCCATCTCTCGAAAATGTGGGCGTATCCTGCCTGGCAGCCGCTGGTTGCCCCCCGCCTTCGAAAGAAAGCAGTGGACTTTCAAATTATGGGTCTTTCGTCACTCTTTGGGACAGTTACTGCTTTTAAACATATGTAGCAGGAGTTTTGACGGACAGACAGACTATCCGGCAGTCCAGGTCGTGGGTAAAGTTGTATAGACTAGTTGACTCCAATTAACAATACAACAGTTTATTTCAGGACAAAATGCACTTCATACACATAACAAAAACACTGAAAAGATACAAAATGATTATTTACAAAAGTGAACTATTAAATACGGTATCTCTGTTATAATATAAGTACTATATTATTATGCATTAAAATGAAGACTATCTATTTACATTGAACCATTCTAACAAAGATTCAAGATATAAATACATATTTCAAACATACCCTAAGACAGGTGCTTTTTTTCCAGGAAAATAAAGATGATTTATAAAGTTATACACTTTATAGTCAACACAATACGAAACACTATAAAACAAATAGATATAACAATTAAAAGACTTTACACATGAGGGAAAAATATATTTAATCAACATTTACTTATGAAATATAAGGTTATTTAATTTCTATATATATATTATTATTAACTTGCTAATATTTACTTTAATAGTTTGGAATTATTTATATAGTTTAAAATGTCTAGTCCAGTCAAACAAATACAAAACCTACCTTGAAATAAATGATTAATTTGTGCTGTAATTAAGAAGAGCTGTTTAAAGATGGGTAGAAAATAGAAGAGTGAAGTTAGTAACCAAAATCAACAAAGCAGGTTTCCAAGGGAATGAAATCTACTCACTACCTTATAACAATAGCATTTTTAAACTTTAAACTAAAGTAAATATCACCACTGGAAAGAAAAGGCTAGCTGGATACTCAAGACAATAGAGACTGACTGAAATAGTTAAAGTGGCTATAACACCCTACTAAAATATTTAAAGGGGCTAAAACACCCTACTACACATACATTATGCAAGAGCCAAATCTGTCTATTGCAGGTCTATCTTTAGGCCTGAAATGTTGTCTAAATTATTAATTAGACATTAATTAAATTATCCAGACCATAATCAACTCTAGATGGCCTCGCTAGCCTGCGATCTTAAGTGGATTGTGAGCCGATTTACTGCATAACTTTCCTTCTCGATTAAACGATTAAATAGATAATCGAGACTATGCTGTTTATCGTACTGACTTTAGTAATGATGACCGAGGCTAGGCAGAAATTTCATTCGCTTACTTTTCGGTTCATAGTGGATCAATTTGAATGAAATTTTCAGCAAATTGCCTTTACGTTATCTAGTTTTTAACTATTATAGTGAGAACTGCCAACTCGTTATCGAATCTCCCATAATGTATCTTTAACTAAGCTAGAATTTTCCAACTTCATGTATAGCTTTATTATATCAATCGAGACTAATTTCGATAATGGGCATTTCCTATAGTGTCATTACACCAGTACATTGACTAAATTCAATAATGAACATTTTCTGGGACATAACTTTGATTTCTGAGTGAAACTTGGTGTATAATTTCAGTACATCACTTCCTTGACAAGTTCGACGATGAGAATTTTCTGCTCGGGCAAAGTAGGAGAAATGGGGTTTAACGTCCACTCGACACAAACTAGGTCATTTCGGGACTAACATATCGGTCAATTTTATTTCAATAATTCGCTTGCGCCTAGGGGTCTTTAGTAGTCGGGGGACCCGGAGAAAACCCACGAAGTTGGACAGGCGACCCTACTCCTTGTCACGTACCACCGGAGAATCGAAACCGTCAGTTGACTCAATGACGGACCTTATGATACTGTTGATCGACTTTACTCCCTTTAGGAATTTCTAGGCTAGGCACTTGACTAGTACTAATGTTGATTTTGGTAGATAACTGCCATCATGCTCACGTAATAGAACTCGGCTCAGCTACCCATGCGTATGCGGCGCGAAAATCTGCCAAAACTTTAAAACTGCATTGACGCGACACATAACGTAACGGCACGGATACGGATGGGGAAAATTCCACTTGCCAAGTCTCTAAGTTCAATGCCTTGACTAACTTCGGAGATGAGAATTTTCTGCTGGGCCAATTGATTTGATTAGTTAAGACTTTTAATTTGAATTAGTCTGTCAATTATAACATCCATTTTTCTACTGAGCCCAATCTTTGACACAATTACTGATCATTCTTCTTGGACACCTATTATTCGAATCCCCGGTTGTACGTGACAAGGAGTAGGGTCGCCTGTCCAACCTCGTGGGTTTTCTCCGGGTCCTCCGGTTTCCTCCCACTGCTAAAGACCCCTGCGCTCAAGCGAATTATTGAAATAAAATTAAACCATATGTTAGTCCGAAATGACCTAGTTTGTGTTGAGTGGACGTTAAACCCCATTTCTCTTTTTCTCTCTCTGGACACCTATTACACAAACAGTATTTTATACTTTGTATTTTGTCCTTTCATTCTTCAAAATGGAGCGAGAGAAATGGGGTTTAACGTCCACTCGACACAAACTTCGATCATTTCGGGGCTAACACGTGTTCCTCAAAATGATAACTAATGTGATTATTATAAAAAATCTGAACAAATGAAAATTAGATTTAAAGACTTGTCATTACTTATTCATAACTTAATACCAAGTAACAAAAATGGACTATTAAATATGTTTGACTGGCACCATTCGGGACATATTTTTGCTTCAATAATGAACATTTTCTGCTCACATTAAACATACATTATGCAAGAGCTAAATCTGCCTATTGTAGGTCTTTCTTTTGGTCTTAAATGTAGAATAAACTATTAATTAGACATTAATTAACGTATCCAGACCGTAATCAACTCTCGATGTCAACGCTAACCTACGAAATTTGTTGGATTGTGATCCGATTTGCTGCATAACTTTCCTTCTCGATTAAATGGATAATCGAGACTATGATTTATGTCGTACCGATGACCGAGGCTATGCGGAACTTTCGATCGCTTATTTCTCGGTTCATAGTGGACCAATTTGACTGAAATTTTCAGCAAATTGCCTTTACATTATCTAGTTTTAACTATTATAGTGAGAACTCCCAACTCGTTATCTAATCTCCCATAAGGTATCTTTAAGCACTGATAAGCAATTGATCGATGATTTATAAACTTCTAGAAAGATAAATATGCAATGTTTTAGCGGGATTGGGTGGGTAGAATTGTAAAGGCAAATCCTGTCCTATTGCCGGAGTATCATTTGCAACAAATGGTCTTTTTCAATCACCCAGTTGGGGCCTTGTCACAATCGGTAAAACTAATATGTTCTGTTTTGAGTCAAATCAAGAAAGCTTAAACAGCTGAGTGAGGGAATATTGATCAAGGCATACTACAAAACATTTACTGTATCCTTTGTACTTATTTTTAACGCTTTCAGAACTTAGAGATTGTAGAAGTCATAAAACGTTAACACTGTCTTCAATAGCTCAACAGTTTCGAGAAATTGGTGTATTTACTAGTTTCCGTATAAACACAATCTTCAATCTAGATGACAGGAAGGTAAATAAAGATGTATTATTTCTATCACAATTTTCGACAATTTCGGGCGTCATATCTTAATATTATAGACCAGTGACCTTCATTTGAAAGAATTGTTACTATTAATATGGATATAAATTCAAATAACTGGAGAAAGTTGCGCGTCCAGAGGGATGGGTTAGTAGAATTTGTTAGCTTAACACAAGTTTTGTGAGGCAAATGCTGTTACATATACTACAAACTGCTACGTTTGGTCGATGCCCGTTTGTTGACTACTAGTGTCAAATGTTGAAAATGTGTTTACTATAATATATCCAATGTTTAAACCTATCTAATTGCTTTCAGACAGTTTCATGAAATTTTGAAGTCATAAAAACGTTAAGCGTCTTCAATACAAAAACCGCACAACACCAGTCTGGAGGACATCTTGATGTTTTTCTATATTTCCTCTAAATCTTTAATCCTGGTATTATTGATCTACGCATCACTACTTGAACAGTTGTAAAACAACAAAGGTAAATAAAGTTTCAGTATTTGAGTTATATTATCACATTATCGACAATTCATGTGGTGTATCTTACTATTATAGATCATTAACCTTGTTAGAACTGTCACATCTTCAGTATTGTTCATATTATAGAACTTCCTAAGAATTGATAAAGGTCAAATTCGACGCCACGGTCGTTTTAAGAGGCAACGAATGGTCTTTCAGCCACCCACTCAGTTGAACCTATTCTGGGGGATCACGGTGGGTGTTCGATCTCGGCATTGGCCGAGAAAGTTCATCCAGATTTTCCGGCGTGATTCCCCTTGTCAGTTTTCTTGTCAGGCCCTCCGTCCTGTATCACTATCTAGTCGTTCGGATGGGACGAAAAACCGTGGTCCCGTGTACACATTGGTGTGAACGTAAAAGATCCCTTGACAGTTGGAATTCGATATAAGAGTAGGCCGTAGTGTCGTTGTCGGGGGACACTGTATGGCGTATGTCCGTCTTCATTAGCCCAATTCAGAACAGTAGGACGTTAAACCTCATTTCATTTTGAACCTATTCTACATTCAGTATCCCCACGATTCGAACCCTGATCAAACAATATGAGATTGCTGGAATATTGAATAAGACATTTTGCAAAATATTTGTAATGATTATTAGATATTTCCAATGTTTAATCTTATTTCTGCTTTTTTTTTTTTTACAGTTTTAAAGAGTAGACCGAGATGTCATAAAACATGCCAACACACTGTCTTCAATACAAAAATAGCCCAACACAACCAGATTCAAGGAGGTTCTGATGCTGTATTTACAATTTTAGGTATAGACCCTAAATCTTTTAATCCAGATGTTTGTAATGGTGCTCCATACAAAAATTTCAATAGTAGCCCCTAATGGCCGATATAGAAAACGTTTAATAATATGAACTTGGTTTGGTAATACAGTAGAAGACTTGCAGTGTTAGGATATATTAAGGCATCTCTGAAAGAATTGATGTTGTGGTGTTGACTCTGTAGTTTCGCTGTACTGAATGATACATTTACTTCAAATTTTTTAAGTTACAAAGTTATTTTTTTGTTCCTGGTCATCCCAAGCACATATAGATATCTGTTTAAAGATATTGTAGTCATCCTTTTGTTTAAATGTCTCATCGACAAAGGATCCCTGACTATTTTGGTGCTCATAGGCTCCTAATGTCCTTAATTTTTGCCCTTGCCTTTTCAAAATATTGTAACAAAGTTTGTAAGTTTTCGAGTGAACTGTGATCACCAGAGAATGAAAACTATCGAGATTTTCATCCTTATATTGATCGTCGACGAAGAATGAACCCTGTCATTCAGTTCCTCTCCCCCACGACTGTTTTAAAATTAAATGTGAAGCATTGAGACATTGAGCAGATGAGCCCTATCGATTTGTGACATCCCTGTCTTGCAAAATATGAGCGTATCATGCATGGCAATCATGGTTTTTCCGTATTTTTGTTATTAGATCATCCCTTCTCCATAGCTCAATAATATGGGTTACAGGTCGTCAAATTTACATTAGAGAAACAAATGATTTGTATTTAATTGTATATTTTATTGTACTATGCAAATATGTTATGTGGACTAAATATACCCATGTCCAAAAGAAAGTATACACTGTGCATTTTGTCCTGCTTCAAAGTCGTTTTCCATTGTATGCGGTATTTGGGTACAATGTCCATTTGTTTTGCCTTTTATTTGCTTAGAAATATTGAGTTTGGACGCACGAGACATGTTCAGTGTAGTTTTATCAATTTTTTTGATTTAAACAAAACTTAGTCATACTTTTAGTGTGTATGCTCTTTTGGACATTAGTATAGATACATCCAAAATGAACTATCATTTGGCGAGATTGTGTCAGGATTTAACGAAGTTGGTTAACACTGATAAATATTGTGAAGCTTCTGACAATATATTAGAAGGCTACACGTATGTATATATATTTATCACCCAATAATTCTACAGTAGATATCGCTTGTGTGATAAATTTCATAAGCTACTGCGATATCTCCTTAGGAGATATTGCTTTACATGAATTTGATTGGTCAGTTGAAAAGGAACTACTTTTTTATATTCAAAGAACAGTTTATTTTGTTAAAAATAACCTTTTTTTAAAATTAAAAATGAACTATTTTCAATTTAAAGGACTTTGCAATGGTTGAATTGCTATCAAAAATGTATCACTACGCCATAATGTAATCAGGTCCAGTAAAAGTGAAATCTATAGCAAAGACTTATATTTTTGTGCATGTAAGAAAGGATTGGGTGATAAATAAAATCTCACACTCGTCTTTTTTGATATCAAAAATATATCAATACTCGTAAAGAGAAAAAAAAACGAGCCTCGTTTGTTTACTTTATCGATTTGTGTTGATATTTTTTTATATCAAAAGACGAGTAGGCGATTCTCTATATCATTGCTCTTAAAGGACAATTTGGTGTCATTCATCACATGTGACGAAAAGGTTCACTCGGCAAACGTCAGCAGATTCAGTACCTCCGGTGTATGACTAGGTCCACAATTGGAACTACTTTCAAGTTGCTGGATTACCAACGGCTTTGCCCATGACGACTTTTTTTGAATGTTTAATCATACAAATATTTCAATGTCTGAAGCTGTTTTCCTTTCAAGTTTGTCAGATTTATTTTTTTTCAAACGGCAACTTTGTACTGAAAATTCTAAACACGCTTCGAACGACTCTGTTGATAACTTCTTTTTAAAAGCGGCAAGTTTTACTAATAAGTAAACCAATGCCGCATCGCAATTGTATAGGCGTATATCACTTACCGTCATACAGCAAAGGCTAGGTGTAGAGTAACGGAGTCTGCCCAGGTTTGCCTGGTGAGAACAGGTTAAACAGGTTCCAAATATAATTTTAACACAGATCATTTCTACGATAGATGCGTTATGAAGCTTTCAAGAAAGGCAAGGGACGAACTAAAAAGGAAAATACGACCTATCTTTATAAAATATAGAACAGAAAACAAACTTAAAAGCAAAAAACAAAAAAAAAAGGGAAGTAACGGAGAAGTAAAAAACAGATAAAGTAAAAACTTTTTTTTAAAGCTTATAATAAAACAAAATATGAAAACTAAGACCTGCAATAGGCAAATTTAGCTCTTGCATAATGCGTGTTTAAGAAATGGTAGGGTGCCCCGTGAAGCGAAAATATGCCCTACAGAAAGTTGAACTCCATACGGCAAATGTGCATGCTTCAGTGCCTCGTTTCGAAATGATTTCTGGCTAATCACGCAGTGCGATAATACTCAGTGGTAGTGTCCGAGTGTATATACAGCCATCGCACGTGTAATCTATCAACTATTACAGCCGTAAAACATATATTATTGATGATTATGAATAGCAGTAATATTTTGCTTTTTATACGCCCACATTTTCATGTGGACGTATTATGCCGTCGCCCCTGTCCGTCCGGACATCCGTCCGTCCGTCCGTCCACAATTGTTTGTGGACTCTCTACAGGTCACAATTCTTATCCGATTTTTACGAAACTTGAAATATAGGTTTATCCCCAAAAGATATCGGCTGCTTTCGATTTTGGCATGTATCGGATCGAAACTTAATGGATTATGGCCCCTGATTGTACGAAAAATCACGTTTTTAGCTTGTGGACCCTATAGAGGTCACAATTTTTATCCGATTTTGTTGAAAATTGAAATGTAAGTTTATAACCCAAAGATCTCGGTTCCTTTCGATATTCGCGCATATCGGACTGTAACTTCCTGAATTATGGCCCCTGATTGTACGAAAAATCACGTTTTTAGCTTGTGGACCCTGTAGAGGTCATAATTTTTATCCGATTTAAAAAACCGTATTATTATATCACCGTTACACCCTAAGGAAGGTTGACTTCGAATTTCGTGAAAATCGGCCCAAAATTGACAGACAAAATCGCCGCCGTTCGTTCTCAAATAGCGTAAAAATATGGTATATCAAGGTTGTGGACCCTAAGGGAGGCTGAGGTCGAATTTCGTGAAAATCGGCCCAAAATTGACAGACAAAATGGCCGCCGTTCTCGTAAAAATATGGTATATCTAGGTTGTGGACCCTATAGAGGTCACAATTTTTATCCGATTTTTTTGAAACTTGAAAATGTAAGTTTATAATCCAGATCTATGTTCCTTTCGATCTTCGCGCATATCTGACCGTAACTTCCTGAATTATTGCCCCTGATTGTACGAAAAATCGCGTTTTTAGCTTGTGGACCCTATAGAGGTCATAATTTTTATCCGATTTAAAAAACCGTATTATATCACCGTTAAACCCTAAGGCAGGTTGAGTTCGAATTTCGTGAAAATCGGCCCAAAATTGACAGACAAAATGGCCGCCGTTCGTTCTCAAATAGCGTAAAAATATGGTATATCAAGGTTGTGGACCCTATAGAGGTCACAATTTTTATCTGATTTTGTTGAAACTTGAAATTTAAGTTTATAACACAAAGATCTCAGTTCCTTTCGATATTCGCGCATATTGAATTGTAATTTCCTGAATTATGGCCCTTGATAGTAGGAAAAATCACTTTCTTAGCTTCTCTATCCATCTCTCGAAAATATGGGCGTATCCTGCCTGGCAGCCGCTGGTTGGTTATTACAGCAGCCTTAGAAATTAAGTCCGTGTTAATTTTTTTAAAATGCATGATCATTAACTGTACCGTTAGGAGCGGCCACTTTTTAGTACAAATATCCCAGAAATGCTCGGGTTAGGCAAGAGCATGATACTAGCAGTAGTTTCATTTTACCTTTTACAGGGTTCTTAAAACAATTGAGTTACCTAAGTGTGTAAATATTTTTAAAACATTGCTTAGACCTGCCACAGTGAGGGTTTAATAAAGTCCATGGGGCTTGATACGAAAATACCTTGTCAGTAATCTAATAGTAATCTAATCTTGGGTCTTATTTTAATGGATCATTTGATCTGTGACCGAACGGTTGAATCTTTTAACAGTTTTTAAAACTGTTACTCGATTTTGTACAGTTTAATGTGGGACAGCTGTCCCCAAGATATTGTATCTTAGTATTTCAATGTTGGTTCGGGGATCACGTGGCTAAGTGGGTAAGACGCTGCATTGGCCGAGAAAGTTCATCCAGATTTTCCGGCGTGGTTCTCCCTTGTCAGTGATGCAGAACGGAGGGGCTGACAAGGAAAGCTGTCTAGTCGTTCGGATGGGACGAAAAATCGAGGTCCCGTGTAGACATTGGCGTGCACGTAAAAGATCCCTTGGCAGTTGGAAAATTTCCCTCATAGCACACTCTATGGCGTATGCCCGTCTTCATTAGCCAAGTTCGGAGCAAAACAGTATGACGTTAAACCCATTTCATTTCAATGTTGGTTCGTTGTCTCAATTCTATCATTATTCGTATCGTGTCCAGTAAATTTTGGTTTTCTTTCGTCTTTCTGAATCTTTTCAGTATCCCTTTTCCAGTTTTCCTTGTACGAGTACGTGTTCCCGTAGTGCAGCATGGGATGTAGGGTCAGTTTTCTTAGCATGTGCTGATTTAACCTTGTATACGAATATACGGAAAAGGTTCAGCGAAGTATCTGGGTTTTAGCCTTGGGTAAGAATTTATCCAAATGACGGTATCATCCCCACTCTACTCTGAATGGCAAGCATGACCTCGATGATGCGGTCAGTGTTTCAGGATTGGTGCTAGGACGAATGTCGTTGCTACCGATATAGACAATTGCTGTATCTGTGGCTTTGGATATACGGCTTACCCTACTTCTGCAGGACGAAACACTGGCCCCACTTACTCCGCAGTCAAGGATGTTGTGGCGATGGTGGATTGATTGGTTTGTATTTTCGGTGTACGCCTGCAGATGTCTGTAGGATGATCCTGTGAGTGCGACGTTCAATTTACTGGCCATGTTGTTGATTAAGATTTAACGTCCAATACATTAAATGATATTATGGACAGGTTGATATTAATTAAATTATTTACACTTAATGGGTTTAAAATTGGTAAAAGCATACAATACAAACGTCCGTATAATTATATCAAGTCTCCTTAAAATTGG